TATTTCTAGTTCGCGCGCGCGGGGCGGCCCCTGGGGGTCCCCGGGCGAAAAGTACCCCGGCAAGGTCCCGGCAAGTCCCCGGCAAGGTCGGGTCAGAGATGCCGGAGTTCTGTTTCGGAGTCCAAGAGGGCTCCAGATCGGTCCAAGAGGGCCCCGAGAAGCTTTCTAGACGGTCCAAGAGAGGCCCGAGACGGCCAAAGATCGCCCGAAGACGCCCCAGATGGCCCCAAGACAGCCCAAGAGGCCTCCAAGACGCTCCAAGGGCCTTCCAAGAGGCCTCCGAAGAGGGCCCCAAGTTGCCAAAATCGTTGATGTTCATTGTTTTTTCGATGTTTTTTTGCGTTCTGGCCTTTTCGCTTCCGGACGCTCCAAGAGGGCCCAAGAGGCCTTCAAGACTGCTCCAAGACGGCCCACGAGGCTCCCAAGACGGCCCCGGAGCGGCCCAAGAGCGCCCCCCAGACGGCCCAAGTGCTGCCCAAGGCGGACCAAGAGGCCCCAAGACGGGCCCAAGAGGGGCTCAAGAAGGGAACCGAGAACTGAAAAATCGAGCCCTCCGCCCCAGAAGGCGCCCAGGACCCCGAAAGAGGCCCCAAGAGACTCTCCAAGACACCCCCAAGACGCCCCAATAAGCTCCCGTGAGGCCCCAAGAGGACCAACAACGTCAGGCCCCAGGCCCCAAGAGGACCAACAAATACCGCCAAGAGCCCGCCGAAAGCCCCCCAAGAGACCGTCACGAGAGCTCAGGAGGCCCCCTGGAGGCCTCCCGAGTTCTCCAAGAGGCCTAAAAAGAGGCGCCAAGAGGCCCCAAACGGCCCCACCGAGGCTCCAAGAGGCCACGAACGCGCAAGCAAACGCCTGCGATGGCACAATACGGGCCGGCGGAATGAGCGAAGCGATTAAATAAGATCGAGGTCGGTTCGGGGATGGTAATGTTCTTCGGTCTTCGTGATTGTTGGATGTTCTTATGCATCCTGGGGGAGGATGCCCCCGAATGCTTCTAAGTTTGGTCAGCGGAGGCTTTCATATTCTTGAAGGACGTTCTTCTGTCTTAGGTCCGACTGTATCGGGGCATCAGAGGAGTAAGATGCTCATGCTTCGCCCGCAGATGCCAGCCCGAACCGCACTGTCCACACAGGGCGCGAAGACGCCACCGCGTCAGCCACGCAGCATTTGTCTGCGATTCTGATGCTTGATGCACGCCCTCTGCGGGACCGATGCGGGGACCAGAAGCAACAATGCCGCGATGAATCAACGCACCACCAGCTACATGCTACTGCGGTAGCACACCTGCAAGCTGAACATGTTCCCAACTTTGAAGGTCGCGTAATAGGGGTCGACAAGTGGGGGGTTAGCGAGGGCTGCCGAGAAGGGGACTCCTCAGGGCCCCTCGGGCCCATAAGGGGGCTTTTCGGGCCCGAGAAGGGCTTTTCCCTCTCCCTCTATCGTCCCCCAGAATTCGCGCCCGACAACATTCTGCGAAAGTGCATTTGACGGGACAGCTGGGAGTAACCGAATCGATTAAATCATTCGCACTCAGGCGCGAACCTCAGCTGCCAGGAGGAGTTGGGCACAGCCGAACGCAGGAAATCGTCAGATTCACCAGGAGGCTCCCGTTTATAGGGCCCTCCACAAGTTGGGAACAGCAGCTGGGAACAGCCAGGGCAAGCGAATACCCAGCACTCGGACAACAGGAACAGGCAAGAATTGCTGAAAGTTGCTGATGCGAATCTAGCACCCTGGGGCAGCATAAACAGGCAGGAGCGGTTGGGGGCAAGCAGGCCATGCAGATCTTTGTCGCCTAGGGACAACGTTGACAGCCTGGAGACGCAGCCGAACCAGGCAAGTTCCCAGCACGGATGGACACGAACAGCCGAGGGCAATTACACCCTTGGCAGCATCAGATCTTGCCCCTCCTGGCAAGCCAACGCAATTCCTGATATCCAGACACTACCCAGCGCAAGCTGTCTTTCATGGCAGCAGACTGCTTTGATTTGGCATGCGTGACCAGATCACACGTTTTCCAGTTGTTTCTGAACAGGATGGCTAGCGCCGCCCTGATACGCGGCTCCCGTCGTCCTGTAGTTTTGTTGAACACAGATATTATGATGATGCGACTTGGGAGGACGAAGCCAGGGGTCCATGCTGACGGAGGGCTCCGAAGACGCGGGTCATCGCAAAGCTGATCCTCGCATCATGGCTGATGCTTTACTGCCCGTGGTGCCGAGCTTTCCTGGTGCTCGCCGCGTGGGCGCCTGACATGAGCAAGTACGGATGTGTTGCTGATGTGGCACACATGCGGGCACCATGGCAGGTGTGAGCAACCTCTTTTGTTCGTGAGGTGGCCGCGGGGGTCCATGCCTGCTCGCCTTCCTCCTGCTGAGCGCCACGGAAGCATGCTATCATTGTATCCATTATCGAGCCACGCCGCGCAGCGAACGAATTATGCTGAGCGCGTTAAGCAGACGACCGTGGAGAGTTTGCCCCAGCAGTGCGTTCCCGAATGTGCACGCACGCGATGGTCGTTGCTCCCGTGGGCGGCGTGTCCAGGGTCCTTATTGTATTTCGGTTGTCGGATGGTGGATTTCTAGCGCGGTTCGCGTCGCGACTCGCTTCTGCGAGCGCCCTAGTTCAACGCGCGCCATCGTCCATTACCTCCTGCAACGGCACGCCCGACGTCAACAAAAATAACATCATTGGGGCTGCAAACACAGATGTCTACCTGTTTTGTTTGGCTCACTGCGCAAAGGTGGCGTTTCCGTTTCTTTCATCCGGATGCTGCTGCCTCGTCGGGATGCTCAGTCCAACGGCCACAGCCCTGGGCCGTGTAGAGGAACGCAGTGGCCGCGCGGTGATTACGCAGTGAACGCTACAGTAAACACGTCGCGGGACACGTGCCAAACGTGTTTATGATAGTAATACCCGGCGCGGCACAATGGAGACTGAAGGCTTGTGTCGTGTCCAAGTCTACGCATTTTGAAGACCATGTCTCATTGGAGGTACTGTTTTGATTAAGGTTGGCTGAAAGGGTTGGCTGGGAGGGTTGGCCAGGGTTGGCGGGAGGGTGTGTTGGGGTTGGCCAGGGGTTGGTTGAGGTCATCCTTCGATTGGTGGATCGTTCCCTTACACATTTTAAATTTCGCCACATGTCAAACATTACTACGCTCGGTGCGTGTCTACTGCCCTGAACAGCGTCGTGTTCCATGTGGTCTTCACTGTCGCGTTCATTGTTTGCTCATTGTGTGGCAGTTTTGCCGCGGGATCCGTAAAGGTTGTGTCTCCTCGGGCGAGTGGCCGCTGCGGGAATCAGGTCGCAGAGGGCGCCTTCGCCCCTCCGGGTCAAGATGCCGACGAAATTTTCTCGTGGACGAGCTTTCCGAACTCATATTGGCGAGCGCACTTGCGTCCGAAAGCGCCAGCGCACAAGCGCCCGCGCTACCGCTCGCAAAGCTGGCTGACGCGCGCGCGCGCGCGTCAGCTGTGGCACGGCGCAGGACGCGCGCCACCCCTACTGCTTGACACACCAGAGTTTCTTTCTTTGCGGTTTCCTCCTGCGCTCCTGATTGGATGCTTACGGGGCGCAGCTCCAGTCTCTTGTCGATCCGGCGGCACAGCTCCTGCATGCAGCCGGCAGGGCCTGTCAACGTTGAGTCGGCGGCACTGGGCGCGTCTCGCCCATCGACAGACTCATGCTTTCATTTCGTCAATCGATGGATTGACGTCGCGACAACGACGTATTTGGGCGCGCATTAAGGCGCCGCGGCCGAAGGGGGACTCCTTCAGTTTGAGGCGGCACTTCTGGGCGCCGGCAGCCGCAGTTTCGCGCGCGGGCCCATACGCAAATCATTAGAATGCGAGGGGGAAGCGTATTTGGGTGGCGACCCCCCCCGGGACCCCCCCCGGGACCCATTCCGGGGACCCCCCGGGCCCCCCCTTCCAGCGTGGGGAAAGGATCGAAGGGAAGGGGATTCCCTTCGACTCCGCTCCTATGTTGTCCAATTTTGCTTTAGACGGCGCGTATGAGGGAGAGGGCCCAGGCAAATGGAACAGAGGAGGACGGAGACGACGACTCCCACTGAAAAGCCCGACTCAAACGGAAAAGCCCCTCACACACGCCGACAGGGTCGGCGGATTTGCTCAGCCAGGATTTTCCGAAGCCGCATATTTTTTGTTGGATTGATCAAGCCAAAACGAAAGCCTTGGAAGACACTGTACCCGACATCGCAAGCCCGGGTCGGCCAGTTGGTCCCACCAGGGGCTGCCTTGGCGGGCGGGCGACGGAGCGTGTCCTACTGCGTACAGTTGGATCCTGAAGGCGGCGCATACATGTAGTCTTGCACACGTCTGAAACTGCACCAGCCTGGTGTCGCATCAGAGGAGCAGCGTTCCCCCCTCACCCTGGCCCCCCTCCACAGGAACCCCAGTTTCAGATTCCCTCCATACTAGAGGAGGCGAACAGCACCGCATCTTGGGCTCACCATCGTCTGGGTTATTGCCACAGTAGAAGCGAGGCCACTTCTCGGAAAGCGATGGCCACAGACTTCTCGGTATAAGTTGCCGCGCCAAAGTTCAAGAGAGAAAGATGCCATATAAGTGTGGGCGGGGAGCTAACTCCCTTCATGAACCCACGATAGAGAGCAGCGGCATTACGTAAGCAGTGTTGCAATGAGGTCCCTCTTGGTCTACTCAAATAGCGTTTGGATGTAGCGGAAGAGAGAGGTGCCGCATGATCAAGTGCAGGATGAAGTGAGTAAGGAGGCGGAGAAAGATTAGGTAGAAAAGGAGTATGCATTCACGCGCTTGGAGACGAAGCCTTGCGATGACTGCCTCCTTTCCAAACATCAATGTATAATTCCCAGGTGCCGCAAGGTTTCAAATATGGTGCGCGCGTGCGAGCGACATTTTGTCATGCGACATTAAGTCATAAGAGTTTGTTTCAGGCGCTCCTCAAGGCGAGGGGTCCTTTTTCCCCGTCCCGCCGAACGCCTCCCTCGCTGTCCGAGGATCAGAGTTTCCCCGTGCACGATGAGCCGCAAGATGATGGAGTACGAAGCTCGACGGCCGAACTTCCACTTCCACTTCCAGGTGGCTTTGGAGAGGCGCCTCGTCTTTCTTCCCTTCCCTGGGTCTCGTCTAACCGATCCCCATCCCCCTCAGGCCATGGAATTTCAGCCCCCCCAGGTCACCCGCCTAGGCGGGATAGTTTCTGCGAAACGTGAGAGGAACAGCATATATCCCCATCCAGGGGGGGTAAGTCGGCTAGTGGGGCCAAGGCTACCCCAGTGGGGACAGGAATCAGTTCAGTGATGTACATTCCTTCCATCGCCGGGCGTTTTGGTCTCTGCGATGGCTGCTCGGAGGTGTGCCCTTGGCGCTGGGCTCCCGACTCCCGAGATGAAGCAGCCGGGCGTCGACGAATGTTGGGCGCGGGGGCGGATCAGGATGTGCGCGCAGGCTCCGAACCTCCAGCGCTTGTCTTGAAACAGTGTCGTTTCGAAGCAAAGTCGAGCGGAGAGGGGCGGGGCACTTTTTGAGGGCCACTCCTCGTGCCTCTCCGCGGCTCGGCCTCCTGACCCCTCCTTTGCCCGTCTGCCGCGGGTGCACACCGTCGCGGATGACTCACCGTGGGGCGCGAGGAGGGATCCCGAGCACGCAGCAGGCACACGAAAATATGGATTCGGCCTGCCAGCAGGTGCCCCACGCAACTGTCTTGTCACCCGACGGCCCTGGATACCCCCAGAAGCTCGGGGGCCACGCAGGGTCCTCAAAGGTCGACGAAGAATGTGCCCCACGATTTCTCACAACAGCATGTCTCATCGTATGTGCCTACTGTGGCCCTGCCCCCATGGTCATGCCACTTCGAGTGTGCGGAAGCAGCGGAAGCGGCTGCTGATTCTGACATGAGAGACATTCCCACATGGCATCGGCAGTGTGACGACAGCGCTGGAAACATCAAGCCGAACGTGGCCTGCGGAACTGTGCCCTTCACGCACTGCCCCCGTAACGTTCGCCCAGGACCCCCAGCCTGGGTGGCGCGTTTCAATGTATGTTTCACAACACGAGCACGCTTTATCCTCTCCCCCTGAACATGTTCGCGTTTGCCCCCCCCGCCGCTTTCGTGCAGGTGTCACATGCGTGTGTTTCGATTGCAGCACCCCCACTCCTTACGTGCTGGTGTTTCCCCCTGCGGCGTTGGCAACATTTCAGAATCAGTGCTTTGCTGCCGTCGTTCAGAAAGGCGCTCTCGCCACCGCGCGGGACACAATTGTGGATCCGAGTCCTTCCTCGTCGTTGTTGCCCCGTGCTTTCCGGTCCTTCGCCTTTCCCTAATCCTCTTGCCCGTCCTGCTATGTTTGCCCTGCTCCTGCTCTGGCTCCTCCTGCTGTTCCTCCTCCTCCTCCTTCTCCTCCTTCTTGGTTATTGTCCTCCTCAGCCTCCTGCCTCCTCATCCTCTCGGTGCATGTTTGTTTCTGGAGCTCTGGGGTAGTTGCCTGTGCCACGTTGACGGTGGCAGCCAGATAATTCCCGCGCAGTTGTTTTGTATTTCCGCCCCAGTTTTCCACTTCGAGGATCACCGCTCCGCCTACCCCTCGCCCAAAGCAGACACCAGTGAAACACTTGGAAGTCTTTGAGTGGTTTGAGTCTCTCGGGAGCATCCTTGAGAGGCTGCTGAGCCAAGATCGTACCAAGATGACATCATACGTCCTAGGATGGCGGCCACTGTCGCGAAGGATTGTCCAAGTGGTCTCAAGATGTTCTCCAGCATGCCCCCCCGGAGGCCCCAAGACGGCCCAGAAACTGCTCCAAGTGGCCTCAGAGACCCTCCGATGAGATCCCCTGAGAGGCCCACATCGTCCAAGCACTTCTGTCAATGATGGTAGTCTTCTCGCTTTTCCGCTTCCAATGGGTTTCTGAGAACTCAAGATGGTTCACAGACCGCCCAAGAGAGCCCCAAGAGGGGACCAGAAGAGCTCCAGGACGGCCCTAGGAGCGACCAAGAGCACCCCAAGAGGGCCCCAAGAGGCGATGTGTCAAGCTCCCAGGGGGCGACGATAATTGAGGACTTCCTTTTTGATCGATGGCGTCCTGGATCGGCCCAGGATGGCCTCGAAGGCTCCCAAGAGGGCCCCTAGAGAGCTCCAAGGGGGCCCCAAGGGAGCCCCAAAGGCCCCGCGTCCGATTGTGCAGCAATCCATTGGCAACACCCTCCAATTACGATTTGAGCAGCAAAGTCTCTTAGGAGACCCCAGCATGGGCGGGAGGGGGTGGCTGCCAGATGTGGTGCGAGCGCGCCTAGATTGGTCCCCCCTCTCTCCCATCATCCCTTCGATCACTTCCTCTTCCCCTCACTTTCCCTCCTCGTCTTCCCGCCTCTGACCCTCGTTCCATGTGCTCCTGCCCTCATTTGCCCCGAGGTTGTGATTGCGCTGTGCTTGATCTGGTGCGGCGGATCTGCAGATCCATGCCTAGAAGCTCAAAGCCGGGGTTTTGTGTCGGTCCCTGAGGGGGAGGGCGAAGCGGAGCAGGAGCAGCAGGATAACGGCATCGGGAATCTACTCCTCGCTCTCCCTCGGCTCGGCCCTGCGCGCGCCCTGAGGCAGCGAAGGACGCCCCCATGCTGACGCTGGCGCCCGAGCCCGAGGAGACGGGGCGGCGGGATTTCCGATCGACACCCGCGCAGGCTTGCGGTCGCGGCAGAGCTCGCACCGCGCCCTCTCTGGTGGTGCTCGGGCTCCCTCCGGGCGCCTGCCTGGCGGGGCCACCACCACCGCAGAGCCGAGCATTCGGAAGGACGCGTGGGCAGAAGAGCGCGCGACTGGCATCTTGTTTGGGAGTGCGAGAAGAGAAGCGGAAAGCGGCGCGCATCACGAGTGTGACGCAGAAAGTGGAGCGCCCGACTGCGAAGCAGAAGCAGGTGTTGCGATGCAGAAGGAGCAAGGGGCGGAGGAGAAGGAGGAGAAAGAGACTACATGCTATGGGTAGCACCCCACAGTTGTGGATAAGAGTGGGGAGGCGGGCGCGGGGTGGGTCGCGGGTGGGTCGCGGGTGGGTGGTGGGGTGGGTCGCGGGTGGGTGGCGGGGTGGGTCGTGGGTGGGTCGCAGGTGGGTCGCGGGTGGTTGGCAGGTGGGTCGCGGGTGGTTCACAGGGGGGTCGCGTTTGGGTCGCGGATTGGTCGCGGGTGGGTCGATGGGTCGCGGGTGGGTCGCGGATGTGTCGCGGGTGGGTCGCGGGTGGGTCGGGGGCAGGTCGCGGGTGGGCCGCGGCCCGGGTCGCTAGTGGGACGATGACAAATCACAACAACAAAACAACTAAGAGTAATCATGATAATAATAATGCTACTTATCATGGTAGCGATAATACGAATGATGGTAACTATATTGACAGTAATAATAATACTGACAGTAATAATCGTTCTGGGTAATAATGTTAGCCAGCGTGGACCCCATTCAGTATGTTCTTGAAGTCTTTGCGGTGCAACCTATGTGGTGCAATTACTTTTTACTAATGATTTGACACGTCCCACGCTCTTGCAAACATCCCACCCACCCACCCGCAACTTGGTTTGCAAAACCTCTTAAGACCGACTATGGCGACACCGAAGACAACGACTACCACGACACCGACGACGTCTCCGACAACTTCGACGACGACAACGACGCCGACGCCGACGACGACGACGACGACGCCAACGAAGACGACGACGAGGGAGGAGGAAGGACGACGACGGCGACAACGACGACAACGACGACAACGACGAGGGAGGAGGGAGGACGGCGACGACGCGAACGACGAAGAAGGAGGCAGGACGTCGACGCCGACGACGACAACGACGAGGGAGGAGGGAGACGACGACGACGACAACGACGACGACGACGGCGACGAAATAGGAGGGACGACGACGAGACGCCGACGACGGACGACGACGACGACGAGGGAGGAGGAGGAAGGACGACCACGGCGACAACGACGACGGAAACGACCACGACGCCAAAGAGGACGACGACGACGAACACGAGGAAAAACAGAGGACGACGTAACGACGACGACGACGCGGGAGGAGGGAGGACGGCGACGACGACGACGACGACGACGCAAGAGCGCGCGCACGCTTTTGTTGAAAGTCCGTGTTGCGAAACCTGATGTGTTTGTATGTTTTTTTGACACACGATTTTGAAATCCTTCCGAAACCTATGGGTTTTGAAGGTTTTTTGCGTACGCGCGCGACGACGCGCGCGTCTGCACTTCGTCCCATTTTTTGCTGAGGATTCTCGCGACGGCACACGCGCAGGGGCGTTCTACAGATTTCGACATGCGCGCGCGCGAAGCCCGTTTGGTAGCGTTTTGTGAAAATCTTGAAAAAGCATTTTTTCTTAAGATTTCGCAAGAGGTCGCGCGGAAGTTTTTTTAGCAAATCAGTGTTGCGAAACCGGGTGTTTTTTTGGAAACTCGATTGCGAAATCTTTCCGGCACCGAAGGTTTTTGAAGGATTTCGGTATGCGCGCGCGAGGACGCGCGCGTGTGCACTTCGTCAATTTTTTGCAAGGGTGTCGCGAAAAAGTGCTATGTTAGAACAACCACTGTCACCGCATGGTTTTTGGTTTTTTACAAGGGAGCCTCAGGGTGGGGAACCCGGTTGGCCTGGCACATAGTGATTTCATATTCAGGATGGACATGTGGTCATAATCATATGTGATTTACATACCCGAAAGGGGTAGCGATAATTCCGGGGGGGTAGAGTGTATTTTGTTTTTGGAAAGGAGAATGTATGCCATGCAACCTATGTATTGCAACCCGTATATTGCAACCATCTCGGGGCCGGTGTCGGCTCATGCGATGCAGCTTTTTCTGGTGAGGGGCGGCGACGGGAGGCACTGGTTCTTTGACGCTCGGTGGCTTGCCTACTCTGCACGCAGCGCAGCAACACGCACCATCTTGCAGCTCACACTCACGTTCTGGAACACACCCTTGAACAAACTGAAAACATTCGTCCAGGCAGTGCAACACTTTTTCTGCTCTTTGGGGTTGGGCTGGCGACGTAAGGTTCTGTAACACATCAGCATCTAACGCTACGGTGATCAAGGTGCCTACGTATCCCTCGCTCAACCCGTTTTTGCAAGCCAGCGCTGGAACAGATATCGTGGTATCTTGTTCGAGCATTCGGGCGTGCATCTCTGCCTGTCGGTTGTACTTGTGTCCGTCGCCCATGGTTGCTTGCTTCACACGTCGCTTATGATGGGGGACAAGAAGGGCCTTGATGGCACAATATAGCCCAGAGTCATCGAATGCGCCGAATTTGCTAAAGTAGTCGTCCATGGCTTCCTTCAGTGCGAACGTGTGCCTGGGATTGCCCACGGCAGAGCTTAATCCACAGTGTCAGTGTTCAGCGTGCGTCGACAATTGGCGCTACTTCCTGTAACGTCTTGGGCACGCACGCACGCCTGCCAATGCTGTTTGTACAACAGTGCGGTCCAAGGCTGCGTGCTCTGTGGCAACGTCGTCTGTAGCGTCGTGGAGCTGCGCGACAGATTGTATTTTTGCTTGCTCTGTAGCAGCGCGCACCGAGGCCGAGGCCGCGCGCTCTGTAGCAACGTGGTCTGTCGCTTCGTGCTGTTGCGCTAGTCGTAGTCGTAGTAGTAGTAGTAGTAGTAGTAGTAGTAGTAGTAGTAGTAGTAGTAGTAGTAGTAGTAGTAGTAGTAGTAGTAGTAGTAGTAGTAGTAGTAGTAGTAGTAGTAGTAGTAGTAGTAGTAGTAGTAGTAGTAGTAGTAGTAGTAGTAGTAGTAGTAGTAGTAGTAGTAGTAGTAGTAGTAGTAGTAGTAGTAGTAGTAGTAGTAGTAGTAGTAGTAGTAGTAGTAGTAGTAGTAGTAGTAGTAGTAGTAGTAGTAGTAGTAGTAGTAGTAGTAGTAGTAGTAGTAGTAGTAGTAGTAGTAGTAGTCGTAGTCGTAGTCGTAGTCGTAGTCGTAGTCGTAGTCGTAGTCGTAGTCGTCGTAGTCGTAGTCGTAGTCGTAGTCGTAGTATACCAGTAGTAGTAGTAGTAGTAGTAGTAGTAGTAGTAGTAGTAGAAGTAGTAGTAGTAGTAAAAGTAGTAGTCGTAGTCGTAGTAGTAGTAGTAGTAGTAGTAGTAGTAGTAGTAGTAGTAGTAGTAGTCGTAGTAGAAGTAGTCGTAGTAGCAGTTGGAGTAGCAATAGTCGTAGTCGGAGTCGTAGTCGTAGTCGTTGTCGAAGGTGTAGTCGGAGTCGTACCAGTAGGTCTTAGTCGCCGTCGTCGTGGTAGTAGGTAGTCTCACTCTAAGTAGCCAGCGTCTTTCCAACCGCAGTTTTGTTTGACGTAGTAGTAGTAGTAGTAGTAGTAGTAGTAGTAGTAGTAGTAGTAGTAGTACTAGTAGTAGTAGTAGTAGTAGTAGTGGTAATAGTAGTAGTCGTAGTCGTAGTCGTAGTCGTAGTCGTAGTCGTAGTCGTAGTCGTAGTCGTAGTAGCAGTCGGAGTAGCAATAGTCGTAGTCGTAGTCGTAGTCGTAGTCGTTGTCGAAGGTGTAGTCGGAGTCGTATCAGTAGGTCTTAGTCGCCGTCGTCGTGGTAGTAGGTAGTCTCACTCTAAGTAGTCAGCGTCTTTCCAACCGCAGTTTTATTTGAAGTAGTAGTAGTAGTAGTAGTAGTAGTAGTAGTAGTACTAGTAGTAGTCGTAGTCGTAGTCGTAGTCGTAGTCGTAGTCGTAGTAGTAGTAGTAGTAGTAGTAGTAGTAGTAGTAGTAGTAGTAGTAGTAGTAGTAGTAGTAGTAGTAGTAGTAGTAGTCGTAGTAGTAGTAGTAGTAGTAGTAGTAGTAGTAGTAGTAGTAGTAGTAGTAGTAGTAGTAGTAGTAGTAGTCGTAGTAGTAGTCGTGTACTGTTCCAGGATTGGCAGCGGACGTATGATGTAGCACAGGTGCTCGTAGTCGTCGTGGCAGTGGCAGTGGCTGGGGTAGTGGTGGCAGTGACCGGGGCGTCGACAGCGATCGTGTCAATAGCAGCGGTGATGGTGGTTGTAATGGAGGGGGAGGATCAGAAGAGGAGGAGGCGGAACAGGATGAGAGAAAGAGGCGAAAGAGGAAGAGGAATATGGAGAGGTGGGTAAGGGGGGCAGTGCGCTCTGCGGCCTACCTCGCTCCGCCAGGAGACGCCAGCGAGCCTCCTGGCAAGCATGCCGCCGCCAGAGGCGTTCGAGGAGTGCAGCCGCTACGATGCTGGAGACACCTTCAAGGAGTTCAGGAAGTGGTCCAGGAGCACCCTGCACCAAGTAAGGAGGCGGGGGAGGGCGGTCAGGATTTGGAGGCAGGCTATTTTGTGAGGAATGAGATGTGTAGGCATCGCCTTGTTGAGCGGGACAATGGGACGACGGCCAGTCTTCGCAAGTGGAAGCGGGTGAAGTTAAGGGGGTTATGACCAAAGTCCAACTATTGGCTTGCATATCGGTGGCAAACAGCAGATCGCATCCGCACCCGCGGTTTTTCGCTTCTCCTGCGGCTCGTGCGCGCCAGGCGTTTCCGCGCCCTCCCTCACGAAACAACGGGCACACGGCGGCCACGCCCATAGGTGATCGCAGAACGCGCGGAAGGGGCGCTCCATACCCTCAGCATATCAGATGTACACATACACATATACATATGTATACGTAGACATGTGTTTCAGTTTTGGTGGCGGCAGTATAGGGACGGAGGGCAATTTTTCCGCATCCTGTTCGTCATCTGTTTCGCTCGGGTTCTTTGACCCCTCCGTATTATCTTGGTCGCCCTTTGCAGTTTTTTTCCCCAAATGTTTCGTGGGGTTCTGGTTTTCTTCCATGCCGCGGCGCGCCCGCGTCTCACCTCACCTCACACCTCATCTCCTCTCTCCTCCTTCCTCTCCTCACCCGCGCTCAACGCGTGCACGGCAAGTACATGAGACACGCGCCTACATACGGCCGCGCGCATGCACACACTCGCACACAACACACACCCACCATACAACGCTAGTGCGCGCCTGGCGTGATCACTGCAGCGTCCATTGAGGCGTGTGCGCGACATAGTGGGCACCCACATGAGACACGTCCCGATATAGCCGCACACGCATCCTTCACATACACATACCATGCCATATACAAGACGTGCGTGTAGGATTCGCAGTGGATAGCAGGAGGTTCTATGCAGGCCATGGCGCAGGGCACGGCAGGCGTGGCACTTTCTCGACACCGGAGGGGGTGCGCAGGGGGTGGTCTCTCACCGCGGTCCCTATACGCGCCAATGTCGCAGGGCCTAGCAGGCGTGGCACTTTCTCGACACCAGAGGGGGTGCGCAGGGGGAGGTCTCTCACCGCGGCCCCTATACGCGCCAATGTCGCAGGGCCTAGCAGGCGTGGCACTTTCTCGACACCAGATGGGGTGCGCAGGGGGGGGTGTCTCACCGCGGTCCCTATACGCGCCAATGTCGCAGGGCACGGCAGGCGTGGCACTTTCTCGACACCGCAGGGGGTGCGCAGGGGGTGGTCTCTCACCGCGGTCCCTATACGCGCCAATGTCGCAGGGCCTAGCAGGCGTGGCACTTTCTCGACACCGAGGGGGTGCGCAGGGGGTGGTCTCTCACCGCGGGCTCTATACGCGCCAATGTCGCAGGGCCTAGCAGGCGTGGCACTTTCTCGACACCAGAGGGGGTGCGCAGGGGGTGGTCTCTCAGCGCGGTCCCTATACGCGCCAATGTCGCAGGGCCTCGCAGGCGTGGCAATTTCTCGACACCGCAGGGGGTGCGCAGGGGGTGGTCTCTCAGCGCGGTCCCTATACGCGCCACTGTCGCAGGGCCTAGCAGGCGTGGCACTTTCTCGACACCACAGGGGGTGCGCAGGGGGTGGTCTCTCACCGCGGTCTCTATACGCGCCAATGTCGCAGGGCCTAGCATGCGTGGCACTTTCTCGACACCGGAGGGGGGGCGCAGGGGGTGGTCTCTCACAGCGGCCCCTATGCGCGCCAATGTCGCAGGGCCCAGCAGGCGTGGCACTCTCTCGACACCAGAGGGGGTGCGCAGGGGGTGGTCTCTCACCGCGGTCCCTATACGCGCCAATGTCGCAGGGCTTAGCAGGCGTGGCACTTTCTCGACACCGCAGGGGGGTGCGCAAGGGGGTGGTCTCTCACCGCGGTCCCTATACGCGCCAATGTCGCAGGGCTTAGCAGGCGTGGCACTTTCTCGACACCAGAGGGGGTGCGCACGGGGGTGGTCTCTCACCGCGGTCTCTATACGCGCCACTGTCGCAGGGCCTAGCAGGCGTGGCACTTTCTCGACACCGGAGGCGGTGCGCAAGGGGGTGGTCTCTCACCGCGGCCCCTATACGCGCCAATGTCGCAGGGCCTAGCAGGCGTGGCACTTCCTCGACACCAGAGGGGGTGCGCACGGGGGTGGTCTCTCACCGCGGTCCCTATACGCGCCAATGTCGCAGGGCTTAGCAGGCGTGGCACTTTCTCGACACCGGAGGGGTGCGCAAGGGGGTGGTCTCTCACCGCGGCCCCTATACGCGCCAATGTCGCAGGGCCTAGCAGGCGTGGCACTTTCTCGACACCAGAGGGGGTGCGCACGGGGGTGGTCTCTCACCGCGGACTCTATACGCGCCAATGTCGCAGGGCCTAGCAGGCGTGGCACTTTCTCGACACCAGAGGGGGTGCGCAGGGGCCGCCAGAGTCTTTCCGACAAAGGCAGCGCTGTCCAGCCGCGTCGAATTCGCGCGGCCCGTGCCGCTTCTGGACGATTTCGGAGCGTCCGCCCAGCTTCGGTTGTCGTGGCAACCACAGCCCAGAGATTTTCCATCCAAGATCACTCGCATGTCGCACGCAGGCGGATCACGTTTGCCATGCAAGTCTTTTGCGCGCACACCTCAGAGACTCTCCGTCGAAGAGACGCGGCGACAGACGTGTGGAAACTGCATGAGACTAGAAAGAGTAGGGAAAGAAAGGGAGGCAGGAGTGCGGGAGAACGCAGCATGAGGCGAGAGGGGGTGTGATTTGCACCAACTTCCAAGTGGCCCCCCTGACTACTCGAGCTGTGGCAATACGTTGTGCATCACCTCGTTGGTTGTTGCGATCCCAGGAAACGGCCCTCGGTGACCACCTCGAACTTTTCCCCGATGAAGGATGGAATGCGGGAAAGAGGGAGGAGGTTCACTCAGTAGTGTGTTGGGTGACAATCTCGGGAAACATTCGCGACGACGGTTTAGAACGCATGTTTCCGCATATATGATCATGAAAAGCAAACACATAATATTTAAATTAAGTATGTGGGGTTCCTCGGTAACGCAGTTAATTGTTTTTAGTTTCTGGTGCGCGAGCCGCTCATCCGAAATCTTCTTGTTGCCTGTACTGCGTCGGCTCTCGATTTGCAGCTGCGTCATCGCAGGGCCGCTCTCCATGGGGGTCGTTGTCCTTCGTGTTCTGGTCAGCGTTGGCTCCCGCCCTCTCCTCCCGCAGTGCTGTCGGGGCAGACGAACGGGGGTGACCGTGAAGGGGAGGGGTGGGAAAATACAGCCGGGCCGCTGAAGAAGGAACTTCTTCCGTTGGGGAGGGGCCCAGTGTTCCTTAATTGTTGTATTGTTTGTCTTAGATTGTCCTTCGGTTTTTGATGGGAAATCGAAGTTTGACTTATGGGAACAAGAGAGTTTCGTTCCTGATGTATGGCTCCTTGTGACAGCGCTTCGGTTGTATCCATGCGTGCAGCTGGCTTCGGCCCCGAAGCAGGTCCTTGATGTATGGCCGCCTCCAGCGCCAGGAGGCGCCGGGAAAACCAGCTGCCTTAGCTGATTCGTGAATTCCTTCTTCTAATCCCACCTTTTTTTGGTCTGGTCCGATGCCGTCAGGCGAGTGTATTTTTGGGACGCGCCGGCTGGCTCTTGATTTTGCCACCAGCGACTCAAACTGGTAACTTCATGTTGGGTTCCGCGAAATTGCTCCGGACGTTTTGTGCGCTCTTATCTGGGACATCACGTTGTCGCGGCGGCTGAGGGCAGCGGGCCCCGTGGGGGCGGATGGCGCGCGTCGCCCGGTGTCGTCCTAGAGGCGTGGGCACGATGTTCTCGCCCCATGTGGGCCTGGGCACGGCGGCGGCATTTGATAAGGAACGTCTTCCTGAGGTCCAGACCCCGGCGCATTCCTCATTGTTTCAAAGCGAGGTGGGTGGCCCGCGTTTGGCCGCCCATCGGTCGCGGGACCCTGGGTTCCTTATCGAAGGTATCCTTATCTAAATCCTCCACCGTGCGTAGTTCAAGGTCCACTCGACTCATTTTCAAAATGCTCCTTGGTAAGTATTCGGGTCGTTGTTTCGTTCGGGTGACCCCTCGCTTCTCGGAGCCAGGGGCTCCGCGTGGCGCACGCCACCGCCTTTCTCGCGGTTGTGGAGCGAGCACAGCGTTGCTGGTCCACCTTCGCTTTTGCGCGCATTTCCCTTGGGCTCCTTCCCTGGGTCTCTCAGCGCCAGCCGCAGGTCCCTGAGGATCCGTAGGAGACTCTGTGGGCCCCGCCTGGCCTGCGAGGGATTCCTGAACAGCCTAGGGGACCCCGATGGACTTCGATTGGCTCTCATGGTTTCCTCGGCCTCCTCTTCCCTTCCTGTTCCCCTACAGCCTCGGAGCAGGTTTTCTCCGCCGCCGCATCCATGCCGATCCACAGCGTGTTGGGAACTGCCACGCCTATACCGGCCGCTATTTTGTAGCGCAGTTGTGTTACATGTGCACCACAATGGGTATTCATGACGCCGTGCCATCATTTCGATTTGTACACGCCCACCACGACGTGTGTGTGTGTATTAATTAAACGTTCAGTGTCGAAGAAAACGCGACACATCCTACTGCGTGTTGAGACCGCATGGCGACCATATCGGATGTTACCCAACCGTGCATATCAGTGTGAGGGGGCCGATCGGTCATTCATTCTCCCTGGGTGCGTGGCTGAAGTGGGGATCCGTAGTGAGGATTCTGCTCATTGCGTTGTTGTTGTTTGTTTGCTTGTTTGTTGTCGTCGTCCTACCCGCGACTCACCTGCGACCCACCCCGCGACCCACCCTGCGACCCGCCCGCGACCCAACACGCAACCCACCCGCGACCCAACCGCGACCCACCGGCGACCCACCCTCGACCCATCCGCGACCCACCCGCGACCCACCCGCGACTCGTCCCGCGACCCACCCACATTGCTTTAACGAAAAACCGGCACCTGCGGCGAGCTTGTTGTGCAATTTCAGAATGAGGCGCTTGCGGCGGGCTTCTTCAGAGCCCCGCAGGCTGCAGACGTCCCCGCCGCCCCCTCACTCACGCAAGAATCTGAGGCAGGGCTGCCCAGCGATGAGCCGCGCGCGCCGGTGCTCGGCCCGCGCGGCCACCTGTCCAATTCGCGTGCTCGGCACTTCCTATCAGTCGCTGCCCCCCGGGGGCCGGTCTTTCACCGGCCTGCGCCCGGGCTGCGCGATCGCGGTTTTCAGGGATTGCCTTTGCGCGCGCGGCGCGCCCGACGCTGGCGCGTTCGACGCGCGCGACGCTCGTCGCGGGCCTGCGCTCGACATGCTGCGCGGCGGCGGTAGTTTGAGTGAGGTTCTCGCCGCCAGACAGCGGCGCGACGCCGCGTCGCGCCAAGGTTCGCACCTGCCGTTCGACCGCGCCGAGCCCGCGGCCGCGCTCGAAGCGGCGGCCGCGGCGAGCGGGGGCGAAGACGAGCAAGGCGCAGCATCCGCCCGCGCGCTGGCACGCCGCCGCGGGCACAACCGGACGCCGGCGCACATCTCGGCGCGTTCTGCGCCTCGGCCCAGGATCCGACCGCGCGCCGCAGCCGCGGGCGCGCCCGCGCGCTCTGCGTCTCTCGCATCAGGGACCTTGCCAGGCCGCGTTCGCTTGCTGCGCTGCGATCCGCGCGCCGGGTCGGGCAGCGGGCGCCGCGCGCTGCGCGGCGCGGCGCCGTGCGCGCGAGCGCGGCCGCTTCGGCATTAGATGCAGCCGCGCCCGCGCGCGGCAGCAGCGCGCGGCGCGGCGTCCTCGAGCTGCGCTGCGCTGCCCCGCTGCGCGCCGCGCCCATCGTCGCGGCGCGGCAGCGCTCGACAGGCAGGTTGGCGCGGAGAGCGCCAGACTGGCACTCGTCAAGGGGCGCCTGGGGCATTTGTGTTGGAGCGCGCTGCGCGCGTTGCGCGGGGGCAAGAATGCCTTCGGGTGCCCCGCCACGCGCGCGGCACGCGGCGGCTTGCGCGGCCGCGCGCGCGACGCGCGGGGGGCGGAGGAGCGCGCCGCGAGAAGCGCTGCGCCTTCGTCGGGCGCGCGGGGCTTTGGGCCCAGCCCTGCGCCGCGCGGCGCAGGGTCATGCCTTTCTGGGCGGTTCGCTCTGGCGTCGGGCGGTCTTCCCGCTCCCGCCTCGCACTGCCGCGCGCGCCAGAGCGCGGCCGCGCATCGTCTGTCGGGTGTAGCTGCGCCCGCAAGCGGCAACGGCGTGCAGCCTCGAGCTGCGCTGCGCTGCCTTGCTGCGCGCCGCGCCCATCGTCGGGGCGCGGCAGCGCCCGACAGGCAGTTTTGCGCGGCGAGCGCCAGACTGGCGCTCGTCAAGGCCCCCCTGGGGCATTTGTTGTTGTTGTTGTTGTTGTTGTTGTTGTTGTTGTTGTTGTTGTTGTTGTTGTTGTTGTGTGTGTTTGTGTTTGTGTGTGTGTGTGTGTGTTTGTGTGTGTGTGTGTTTGCGTTTTGATGTGAATATATTTTAAATATAGGCATCAGCGTTTTGGTGTATGTTTTGTGCTTTTGGGTGCGTGGTCTTTGAATTGTTTTTGTTTGTGCGCTTCTGTGCCTTTTTGTGTCTTGTGGTGTGTTTGGGTGTTCTCTTTGCTGATTGTTGGTGCGCCTGGGACCCTTTTTTTGGTAGTGTTTGGTACGTGTTGGAGTTTTTGTTGGTGTTTCTTGGTGGTATTTGTTTTTTTTGGTTTTGTCTATTGCACATTTGTGTTTTTTGGTGGTAATTGATGTGTGTTGGTTGTTTGTTGGTGCTTTTTGGTGCGTCTTGGTGCCTTGTTGCTAGTTTTTGGTGCGTGGTGGTCCCGTTTTGGTGATTGCTGGTGCGTGTTGCTACCTTTTGGGTGATCTATAGTGAGTTATATGTTTTTTTTTGTGTGTGTGTGTGTGTTTGTGTGTGTGTGTGGTTGTGTGTGTTGGTGTGTTTTTTGTTGCTTTTTTGGAGCGTTGTGGTGTTTTGTTGTTTTTTTGTTGCGTGTTGATGTTTGTTTGGTGATGTTGGGTGTGTTTGTGTGCTTTGCTTGTACTTGCTATTGCGTTTTGGCGACTGTTTAGTGCGTTCTATTGCCTCGTAGGTGTTTTTGATTATTTTTGGTGCAGTTTGGTTTCTTGTTGATGATGTGCTGTGCGTTTTGGTGTGTGTTTGGTCTTTTGTTTGTGTGTTTTGGTGTTGTTTGGTCAGTTTTTTTTTTTTTTTTTTTTTTTTGTTTGTTATTTTTGATTTTTGGTTGTTTGTCGTGGTTTCCGTGCTGCTTCGTGTTTTTTCGTGCCGTGTTAGTGCTTAGTTTTTTCTTCCCTGTGTCGTACACTATTCGTGTTTTGTCGCACCGTCTCCGTGCTGTTTGGAGCTGTTTCTTGCCCTGTCCGTGTTTCTATCCTTTGTTTTGAGTTCTTTTCGCGTTTGAATGTAATTCCGTGCCTTGTTCGCGCGTTTTTGTGTTTTTCTCATGCCTTTGCAGTGTTCTGTCGTGCCTTTGCGCGCTCTTCTCGCGCTTTGTTGTGGTGATTCCGCTGACACCGCGTCGCCGCGCGTGGCCGCCTCGTGGCCGCTTCGTTGCCGCCCACTCCGGAAGTCCGCCGAGGTTTCGCCGCGTCGCCGCCCGTGGCCAGCTCGTGACCGCCTCCTTGCCGTCCACTTGGGGGGGGTGGGTCCGCCGAGGTTTCGCCGTGTCGCCGCGGCCGCCTCGTGGCCGCCTCGTGGCCGCCCATTCGGGGGTTCCGAGGTGGTGCCGCGTCGCAGCCCATGACCGCCTCGTTGCCGCCCACTTGGGGGGGTCCGCCGAGGTTTCGCCGCGTTGTCGCCCGTGGCCGCCTCGTGACTGCCTCGTTGCCGCTCGCTCGGCGTGTCCGCCGAGGTTTCGTCCGCCAAGCCGCCCGTGGCCGTCTCTCTGCCTCTCACGCATTGCCTCGTTGGCGCCCACCGCGCTTGGGGGATCCGCCGAGGTTTCGCCACTTTGCCGCCCGTGGCCGCCCCGTTGCCGCCCACCGGGTTTGGGGAGCCCGCTCAGGTTTCGCCGCGTTGCCGCCCGTGGCCGCCTCGTTGCCGGCCCACCGCGCTACGCTTGCATTTAGGAGGTCTCGTTTCTGGTTCTACGCAACTGGGCAACACATCTTGCATCACATACCTTCCACCACATACCGCATTGATTACGCCACATACCTTGCACCTCTTAGTTTCCATGGCTCCCACCACACAGCTTGCACCACATAGCTTGCACCACATAGCTCGCACGCCCACTGTGCAATAGCGCACTGTATGGGGCCCACGCCGCCAAACATTTTTGTGACAAGGAATGCTCAGGGTATCTCGCCCTGGCGTCGGCCACATTCGGACCTCGGATTAGCCGCAGTTCCAGCCGAGTGCGCATCTGCTCGTGTCCGATGTGCTGCCCGGCCGCCGTCGACCCCGCTCAGTGTTCGAGGCTCTTGCCGTGCGCGGTGTGCTTGTCTTCGGGTGCGAAGTGCACTCGGGTCCCCAGTCGTCGCCCAGAGGCTGCGCGGAGCTCGTCGCCGTGGAAGAGAGATGAGAAGCTGTGATTCGAGAAGGCTCTGGAAGATCGCACGGTCCACGTGGCGCGTTCCAAGAAGGACTTCGCCCTCGAAGATGGGAGGGGCTGGAATCTCTTACGTACTTGACGAAAGGTGGCGGAACGGCGAGGGAAGCATACTTGGGGCGCCCCTCGCGGGTGGAAGCCGGCGGAAGCAAACCGATGTCTTCCAAGAGATTGCCATTTTTTAGGGTTCAGGGTTTCCGGAACCCGCCATTTGCTGAGGTACTTGGGTCGGCCTTTGGCATCGGGTGAAACCGTCGTTGCCGTTTCTGCCTCAAGGAGCACCCTTTGCCTCGCCTTGCTGCATGTTCGTCGCCACTGTTCACGCCGCTCAAGATTTCAGCAACCCCCAGCGAATTAGCCGTCCCCGCCAACGGCTTGGGAGGCGAAATCCTCTTCATCCTCCTGCTCCTCCGCATTCTTCTTCCGAGGCCCCGCCTGCCATTCTTGCTTGGAATTTTAAGTTTTCAGTTGATGTTGATAGACCAGCCTTCCATCGTGCCCGTCGGAAAGACTACAGCCCCATCGTTGAGCTTGCACGCTCAGAACCAATGTCCCTCACCCAACATTCTTTGGAGTGGTCTCACCCACTCCACTCTCTCACAGTCAGTGTCTGTTCTCTTTATCGTTTCCTGCTATTTTGCCTTCATGATTATGTCCTCCGTGTGCTGCTGCGTGTTGTGCTGCTGTGCCTCTTTGAGCTGTATTACTTGCTTTCGCAGCCCTTTCTCCTTCATGACAGTCCCCCTTCCCCAAGTTCCATCCAGCCATTCTTCTTTTCGCATGCCTCCCCTCGAGGAGGAGCGTCCTCGCCTTCCTGTGCGAGGTTCCTGTGAAGAAGCGAATTTTCGCTGCGCAGGCACGGGAGATTCTGCAGGCGCCGTCTTGCCTGGAGACGGGGCTAGAACATGCAGGGGTTCACGGAGGTACGAAGGATGGGAGGGATAAGTTGCACATGCTGATGCGAGTCCAACATGGGTGCGCAATCATCAACAGTACGGCCCTAATACCGCCAACCAGTGATTGCACTTAACGGCTCTCGTTTGGCATGTGAGCGATTTGGGAGTCGAGCCCCCAGCCAACCAGGGATTCTGATTTTGGTGCAGATCTTCAGGGATTCCGATTTTGGCTCTGGATTCTGATTTTGGCGCAGCCCCCCAGGGACATCCCACCAATCGACCGTATTCAGCCTGGCTTGATCACCCTCAGCTTAATCAGGCCCGAGCCTTTTAGCTTGCCGCTGCGGCTGCGCACTGTGTCCCTCCGAGGACACCCAGGATCTGAGGCGCGATGATTCCGCAGCCCGCGCAACGGCAGCAGCAGCTGCTGCACGAGGGGGGCACCGCCCACCGGCTCACTGCTGCGAGCTCAGCGGGGGCCCTGAGTCTTGCCGAGCCGGTGCCGAAATTGTCTGGGCGGCCCCCCATGACCGGTTGCCAGGTGTTCTGGGGCCTGGTCTTCTACGGCCAGCTCGTGCTGACGCTGCTCCTCGTGGCGCTCGTCATCGTTGGGAAGAACGTGGTCTTCCCCGATGCATCCGGAGCGTGCCCCGCAGACTTCCCGCATCCCGCGCAGTGGTGCGCCGAGGGAGGCGTCGCCTGCGTGACTTTTCCCATGTGCACTAGCAGCGGCTTGGCGGACAAGTTCAGCCATTGCCAGCTCAAGCGCCTCACCGCCGACGACCATCGCCCGCTCGAGCTGGTCGCGGAGAGCACCCCGCCGATGAGGGTGTGGGAGCTGCTGGCCAAGCACGTGGAGGTGCCCGTCGTGGTGCTGTTCGGTATACTCCTGCTCTGCACCGTCTGGCTGGCGCTCCTCCGCGTCGCCGCGGCCGTCGTCATCTGGGGCACCCTCGCCTTGAACGCCGCGGCCTTCGTGTATGCGTCTGCGCTTCCGCGCATGCCCGCCGCCGGGTTCCTAGGGAAGCCGCGCAGCAGCGTGGCGGCGCTGCCTCTTCGGTGGCCTCTTCGATGGTCTCCTCGGGGATCCTGTGGGGCGGGGGCCTCTCGAGGGCCCTTTCTCGGCGATCGGGGCCTATCGCCAACGCCCAGGCCGGGTCGGCGAGGCAGGCTCGGCCTGGGCCAGGTCTGGCTGGACGAGGTCCAGCCGGGCAAGCTTGGGCGGGCGAGACTGGCCGCGCAAGAGGTCCGTCGGGCGAGGTCGGGCCAGGCAAGTTCGGGTTGAGCGGGCTCGGCTTGGGCTGTTTCGAAGCTGCCCAGCGCTGAAGCGGGAGCGACGCGCGAATTCGGTCGGGGTGAGGGCGAGCTCGGCTGGGGCGAATTCGTCTGGCGGCGAGCTCTGCTTGGCGAGTTCGTCTGGGGATGTGCGTGGAATAGGCTGGTTCGGTGCGTGGCGAGCTCGGCTGGCCAGTTTGAGTCGGGGCGAGCTCGGCCGAGCGACTTCAGACCGTCTGGGTGAGCTCGTCAGGGTGAGTTTGGCTCGGGTGCGTGTGTGTATATGAGTGTGTGTGTGTTTTCGCGCTCTGCAGCCCCTGCGCAGCACAGGTGGTCTTGCATGCGGCCGCAGTCTCGCTGCCTCGCTTGGGGGCCACCGCCGTTGCGGTTCGCCTCCCACTTTGCCTTTCGGCCTCTCTTGTGACGGCCTGCTGGGAACGTCCTTTGCCCTCGCTGGGCCCCGCCCGTGCGCCACTTGCATTGGGCGACGCCCAACTCCATGCTGTGATGCCGTGTACCGGCTACGGAGTGGCGCTCCTTCTTCTCCGGCGCATCTGCCATCGCCCCCGTGCCCTGCGACGGCTCGGCCAGTCGCATCGCAGCCTCGCCGCTGGCCTGCTCCGCCACCCGCCGCCCTGGGCTCCTAGCACCTGCTGCAGCGCTGGCGCGCTTTCTCTTGGCCGCCGCCAGCTCCCATGTCGCTGCCTCCCCCCCCGCTGGTGCCCCTCTCTGGCCGCTGGCTGCTCCTGCTCTTCGACTTGCTGGGCCATGCCCACACTGTGGCTTCTGGCCCCCCCTGGGTGTACTGCTACGCCGACCCGCAGCTGCTGCCAGGTGCTACCCTTTAGCTCGGCCGCGCCCGCGCACCCGCCGCAGCCTGGCTGCCTGAGTGTGCCCCCGCGCCCCGCTCCCTTCTCTGCGGCCGCCATCCTTCCTTACCCCTCCTCCTGCATGCGGGCTAATTCGCGTTGCCGTGTCCTGGTCTCGCCCAGGCGCGCGCGCGGAACGCCTCTGGCGCGCTACGACGTAAAAGTAAGTGTGTGTGTGTGTGTGTGTCTGTGTGCATCAGGGCGGGCTTGGCCAGGGAGGAAAGAGGGGAGACCATAAGATCGAGGGAAGCGGGAGGCCTGATCGGGGAAAAGTAAGGCCAAGATTGCCAGACATCGTCTGTTGTTGCCGATGTTGGGCGGTCTGGGCGTGAATCTTGACTGCCCACTTTTCGTGATACCTCTGTGCTGGGAGCTCGCGCCACATTTCAGGCTAGGGCCCGCCATTTTTCGGACCGTCCCGTCAGGCAGGTTCGAGTCCCCCAAGCTCGAGTCTCACGCATCTTCGATCGCAAGGGGGTGTCCCTCCAGCGCGCTTCCCACCAGGTTCGGCGCAGCCGAGCCCGCCCAATCCAGCATCGGCCAGGGTCGCACCAGCCGAGCGGAGAAGGCGAAGGCGCTCAGCCCCTTCTCCTTCTTCCTGTGCCCGCGGGGGTCCAGCGGAGTGAGCCACCATGCCGGCACGAGTGACATTTTGCGTGTGTGCGCCCGGCCAGTCGCACAGCCGTTGCCACTCTCCTGCGCTCCGGGGGGGGGGGCTCCCCCTCCCAGGCAGGTCCAGACAACGTCTGGCTCCGTTGTGTGCTGCCAACCGTGCAGTCCTGCGCCCTGTGCGGGTCCGGCGAGGTGCCGACAGACCCGCACGAGACCTCGAGTGCCTGAGTGCTGCCGAGTGCAGCTGTGGTCTCCTACATCCTGCGCCTCTTGGGGGGTCTGGCAAAGCGCCCGGCAAAGCGCCCCCCACTCAGTGTCCAAGCTGGGAACTCGCTTCCTCGGTCGCTGCCGCATGTGCAACGGTCTGGCGGAACGCCCCCGCCCCCCCTCCCCCACGAATCCACACGAGACCCCGCCTGTTGGAGTGCTGCCAGAGTGCAGCAGTCGCCACTATCCTGCACCCTCGGAGGGCCGGCGAGGCCCCTTGTCTTGTGCAGGCCCAAAGGGTGCGCTCGAGAGAGGGCCTCGCCTTTTGGTGCGTTCCGCCCAGAAGTTGGCGGATGCAAGGCCGTAGCGGCGACGCCGGCGGAAGGCCGACGGAAGGCGGTCCTCCAAGAGACGCGCACCTTGTGGGGTTCGGAACTCCTGGAACGGACTCCGCGTGTCGCCGCCTATTTCCCATGACCCTTGGGGTGGGCGGGCGGGCAGCGGAGCGACGGAGCGAGCCCCTGCAGGCATCCAGCGAGGCCGCGCACCCTTGGGTGCTGCCAATATTTTTGTGCGTTTTGTTGTCGTTGTGTGTGTAGGGGTAGACCCTGTCTTAGCTGATTCGCCTAGTTCGCGTCCCGGACTTTGCTTTCGCCGCCTGACCGTTGTGTAGGACGGCTTCATCATCTTCGGGGTGTTGAGCGTTGCCGGCAGCGATGGGGAGCAGGTGTAGGGGTAGACGGTGCCATGGAGAAGAGGAGCGGGGGGGGTGACCCGCGCTGGTGCTCGACGAGGCCCAGAGATCTCACGTTGAAGCCGGGCGGTCCTGTGTCGTGGGGCCCCTGTGCCTAAGGGGAGTCTCGTTTGTTGCCGCCTGGAGGGGGGTGGGATTGGATATGAGATGACGTCGGCCCGCTCCAGCGTGAATTTGCCCGTGCTGCTGCAGAGGCGGGCCCTGACGAGGACGCGGCAGTATGGGGGGCTCACGCTGCCGAAGCGCCAAACGCTTTTTTGTGTTAGTTATCATCGTAATGTCGTGGGGTGGGAGGGAGGGGTAAGAAGCCGGTAGTTCGACAACTTCCCGTTCCACCACTATCGAGCTCAGCCTTCCACAATTGTAAGCTTCAAGTGCGTGTGTGTGTGTATTTGTGTGCGTGTGTGTGTGTGTGTGTGTGTGTGTGTGTGTGTGTGTGTGTGTGTTGGCCCCCGTTTGCGGGGAGGGGGCAGTCTTTCGCAAACCACGCGACTGTCCCAGAACCGCTTTGCGGCCAAACCTTCAAAATGACTGTTGGGAGCAAGGTCGACTTCATCATCGTTGTGTGGTTAGACTTTTGCGGCAGGGATAGTGGTATGTAGGTGTAGGGATGTCGGGGGGGAGCTACTGACATCGGGTCGCTAGGCCACCGTCGACAACCACGAACAAACATATTCAGGCATGCGCGAATTCGCTGCGGGCACGGGGGCGTCTCGGGTATTAATATTAGAGCGTGAAAGAGGAATGTAGTAGAAGAGTGTAGTAAAGAAGCTCGACGGCGAGGTTTCTGGATAGAGCATTTAGGACAATTCGATCGGGTGGCTTCTCATTATTGGCAACCGCGAAGAAATGGTGCATGCATGCACGAATTCGCTACGGACAGGGCAGCATCTCGGGAATAAGATGAGGGCGAACAAAAAGTATGTATGGGATGCGATTGGCGTCGGTATCTCCAGCGGGAAGGATCAATACATTAGAGAGGATAGCTTCATCTTCGGCAACCACGAAGGAAATATGCATGCACGCGCAAATGAACAATAGACAAGGGGGCGTCTCGGGAAGTAGGATTAGGGCGTATAATAATGTAGCAGACGCGTGTAGTAAAGAAGCTCGGCGGCGAGATCTCTGGCGAAAAGTTTAGGATAATTCGACCGGGCGGCTTCATCATCGACAACCACGAACACATGCATGCATGCACGAATTCGCCACGGCAAGGTGGGGGCGTTTCGGTAAGTAGGATTAAGGCGAATCAGAAAGGAGTGGAAGAGTATAGTGGAGAAACTCGACGTCGAGATCTCTGGCGATAATTTTTAGGATTATTAGGTAGCTTGGCTTCTTCACCGAAGGCCACGAACATATGAATGCATGCACGAATTCGCTCTGGCGAAAAGGAATTAATCTAGTTATGTAGGACGGTTTCATCATCTTCGGGGTGTTGGGCGTTGCCGGCAGCGATGGGAGCAGGTGTAGGGGTAGAGGGCGCCGTGGAGAAGAGGAGCGGGGGGGGGGACCCGCGCTGGTGCTCGACGAGGCCCAGAGATCTCACGTTGAAGCCGGGCGGTCCTGTGTCGTGGGGCCCCTGTGCCTAAGGGGAGTCTTGTTTGTTGCCGCCTGGAGGGGGGTGGGATTGGATATGAGATGACGTCGGCCCGCTCCAGCGTGAATTTGCCCGTGCTGCTGCAGAGGCGGGCCCTGACGAGGACGCGGCAGTATGGGGGGCTCACGCTGCCGAAACGCATTTTTTGTTTTAGTCATTCTCGTAAGGTCGTGGGGGGGGAGGGAGAGGGAAGAAGCCGATATTTCAACGATTCGACGACGTCCCGTTCCACCAGTATCGAGCTCAGCCTTCAGAACTGTAATCTTCAAGTGTGTGTGTAGGGGGGGAGAAGGGGGGTCGGGCGGATGCCCGACGGGACGTCTGAGCGTCGCGAAGCGCAGCTGTCTGTGTACAGTCAAGCCGCTGACAAGCCGCTGAAATAAGGAGCGCGTTGGGTTCAGGAGGGTTTTGGTAGCTGGGATATTCCTTAGATCAAGGTTGGGTAACCTGTTCGTGACTGAGCTTGGCGTGGCCAGAAACACATCCTTCGTTCCTTATGCAGCGCTCCTTCAGGTAGCACAATGACTGTGGAGCTTGCAGGTTTGCAAATGAGCCTGTTTTGCAATTGCGGCGGCGGGTTTTTACTACCTCACCCAGAACTGGATGCTCCTGGTGGTCGTAGCGATCCACGCGGTGCTGTGCGTCGTGCGGAGGGATGCGGTTCAGATGGCGATCTCTGCGACGCAGCTTTCTTCGAAGGCACTGAGCCAAACGCCCTCCATCGTAATGGTGTGCCTCGCGCTGAAGGGCGTCTGGGTCATCTACGGCCTCATCTTCATGTATGGGATGACGCAGATGATGAAGAACCAGGATTGTGGAGGACGATCAATGGTGAGGAAGCATGTTGCCAAACAATTTCCATGTCTTAAACATGTTTTCAAAATGGTTCAAGCATGCTTGGGACATGATTCACATAGTTTAAATCGTTTGAACGAATCTTGCATTCAATGGTCGGATTGTTAGGGTGTCCATTGACATGGCATCAGCAAAACCAGGATATCGACCCCGACAGCTGCAACCTGACCCTGGCGTTCCCCGGGATGATGCTGACGAAGATCGGGACATTCTGTTTCGTTTCGGAGAACAACAGCCCGTACTCATAACCGGTCGGAGGTCAGCGCATATTTCGTGGATCAGCGTTGGGCCCCGTTTCCTGCCGCGCGGAACGCGCAGGGGGCGGCGCCGAATGCGCTGCTAAAGGGGGTCCAGCGCCAATCTAAGAAATCCGCGCGGACATTCGACAAATTGTTGACGCTCCGCGTATCCCCACCAGAATGACGGACTCGGTTGCTCAGGTACACGTCTTGTCACTGTGTGGGCCGTGCCTCATGGCAGGCATCGAATTCCTCGACATTTTGTCCAGTGCATGTGCTCGAGCTTCCCAGGATGCCCCCCGCCGTCAGTCCCCCCACTGCCTCGCGGCTGCTTTGTGAGTGGGCCGGCCGGCTTGTGCGCCTCTGGTAGCTAATTAGGCTTGCCCGTTGGCCCGGACACTCTGCCCGCCGCCTGCCTCTTCGCTTGCGGCCGCGACCGAAAAAAAGAAGAAGTATCCCCACCAGCCCATCCAGAAGCCATGCCCAGGGTAGTCGCGGTGATCAGGGGAGTGGGGGAGCATGCAGAAGAACAAAGGGCGGGGGAAGCCGTCATATACCCCAAGAGGGGCAGGATGTAGGAGGAATCGTCGTCGTCGTCGTCGTCGTCGTCGTCGTCGTCGTCGTCGTCGTCGTCGTCGTCGTCGGAGGAGGAGGAGGAGGAGGAGGAGGAGGAGGAGGATAGGGATAAGGAGGAGGAGGAGGAGGAGGAGGAGGAGGAGGTGGAGTAGGGCGAGGACGAGGAGGACGAGAAGGAGGATAAGGAGGAGAAGGAGGGAGAGTTGGGTACCTCGGGGATCCTCTTGAGGCCTCGTATAGGGTCTCTTGGGAGCCTCTTGGAGGCCTCTTGGGGCCGCCTGGGCGCCTCTTGGGGCCTTCTCTTGGGGCCATCTTGGAGGACATCGATCAAAAATGAAGGGAGCTCCAATTAGCCTCCCCCCTCAGGAACACCGAACATCGAGCGCTCTTGGGGCGCTCTTGGGCGCTCTTGGGGCCGTCTTGGGGCTCTCCTGGACCTCTCCTGGGGCCCTCTTGGGCCATCTTGGAGCCATCTTGAGGCCTCGGATGGTCATCGGAAGCGAAAAGAGGGGGTCGGGGGGAGGTGTAAACCCCTCCCCGAAGGGGAAGAAGGGGGCTGGAAGAGGAAACTCCCTAGAACACCTACGCCCAGAGGACTGGTGGGATTGATGTTTACTTGCCGACGCGGCAGCGATGCCGCCGCGGGCGTTCAAGATTGAACGCCGCCCGTGGCCCACGACCCGGGAACATGGAACGACCTGGCAATCGAGAAGCCGCCGATCGTTCAGGGTGGAACGATCCACGCGGTGTAGAAACCAATGGGAGGGTCGTCACAGCACCAACCTGCCGTACGCGTCAGGGGCCGACCTGAACGATGGCTTGGCGATTTCGTGGGCCATCTTCGTTTCGATTTCGTTTTGCAGCAAAGGCGAAACGAAGACAAAACGAGGGAGGAAACGAAAACAAAACGAAAACGACAAGCACTGCTTTGGTCGAGCCCTGCCTGCCGTACGCGTGGTTTTGTTCTCCGGTCGTCTACACCACCTTCTTCTTCCAGAACGCGGCCCTCGCCGCCTGCGCCACGGGAGTGGGCGCCTGGTACTTCCCCGCCGCGGTCGCGGCGGCACCGGCGGCCGGCAATCCCGCGGTGGTCCGAGGGAGAGCCTCGCTGCGACCAGGGGCAACGTCAGGGGCATAGGACAGGCTCACAGGGGGATCCGAAGAAGAAAAAATCGCCACAAACCTACAGGATCCGGCTTGAATAAGGAACACTTGCTTTTCAAAACGGGCTCGGTCGTTCCTTCGGACTTGGTAGACTTCCTTGGAAAAAGGGGCTTCGTTCCTTATTTATCGTTCCGTAGGTCAGGCGAGATCCTGTACACTGTTGGCGCTCCGCGCGGATTTCTTGGGTCCGCGCCTGGGCCCCCCTCTGGCGGCGCCTCTGGCGCCGCCCCTTGGCGCGCTCCGCGCGCCAGGGAGGGGGCTCCAGCGCAGATGCCAGACATACGCGCGGAGCGCCAACAGTTTAGGGTTGTGCAGTTTTGTTTTTTATTTCGGGCATAGGATGGGCTCACAGGGGAATGCACAGACCCCAAATCGCCCATTGGTCGCCGATATGGGCCCGATGGCCCACCCCGTCTAGGAGCGTGCGATTTCGCTGCCAGGGGCCCGATGTTTGCCCCCCCCCCCCCCCCCACACGCACACACCTGAGCCGGTCCCCCCCTGACGTTCCCCCTCATACGACCGCCGCTCCAACTCCCACCCCCTCCCCTCACCTCGCCCCCTCCCCTGCTCTCCGTGCTGTTGGGCGGCGGAGGGAGGATGGGGGAGAGGGGTAGGACAGAGCTGCGGGTCGCGGCGAGTGCCTCTGAGGTCGGGGCGACGCTCGCCTTCACGCGTTCCTCTGGGGCGGTCTCCGTCGCATCCCTCATCATGGCCCTGGTGGAAATGGCAAGCACGGAGGGCGCAAACATTCTGCGACTACCAGCGAATCCTTCCCCTGCGGATGCAATCGAAGCTGGTCGCAGACGTCCTCCAAATTCTAGCCCCCAGCGATTTGTTTCAGAAATGTGGCCTGCAGGGGTAGGGATCACATGTGCTTGCCTAGACATGTCCATGCCCGTTCTCCTCGTCCACTTGCCCCTCCTGCCCTTTTCGTGAGAGGGAGGTTCAGAAGGTAATGTGGGGGGTAATGGTCATGTATTCGCCCTCCACAAGGCGAAGCGGAATCAGCGGAAGACGTTCAAGTGCAACCCCATCCGGTGCTTGATCGCAATGATCTGGTGCTGGGTTCAGTCGATTGTCGAGGCGCTGTCGCGCTTCAGCCTGGTGGCCCACATGTTCCACGGCGGTAGCCTCACGGAGGCGGCCTACAAGACCACGGACATACTGAAGCGGCGCCTGAGCCAGGCGTGACCAGAATGTGATACCCAGATCTCTGATGATCTCGACGACTTAGTTTTCCTAATCAGATTTTATCGCTGATTTCAGCCACATACATGTGGGGCCCGTTATCGGGCCCCGTGGCCAGAAACAACGCTCCGCAGCGAGAAACTTTCCCTGGGGAAGGGGTCGGGGCCTCTGGAAGTGCCGCTTATGCCAGGCCTCGGAGATGAAGCAACGACCTGTAAATATATTTGTTTTGGCGCTCCGCGCGGGTTTCTCGGATCGGCGCTGGGGCCTTCCTGGCGGCGCCTCCAGCGCCGCCCCTGGCGCGCTCCGAGCGCCATGGAGGGGGGTCCAGCGCCGATCCAAGAAATCCAGACGGAGCTTCGAAAGTTTATATTTGTTGTTTGTTACATGTGTTCGTTCTAAGGCCGTCATCGCCGACAGCATCGTCCACAAGGAGATGACGCAGATCTCGATGCTCCTCGGCACCGCGATGGGATTTGCGGTTTGGGCCTACCTGGACAAGGAGGAAAACCTTGGGGTCTTTGCCGCGATCGGGCACGGGGCGCACGACATAGGTTCGGCATCACCCACCATGCTTGTGGTGTGCGTGTGTGTGTGTGTGTGTGTGTGTGTGTGTGTGTGTGTGTGTGTGTGTGTGTGAGTCGGCCTCCCAGGGGCGACGCGCGCTTCGAAATCTTGTGGCGTGTGCTCGGCGGCGGGCGGTGTCTGTCTATACCCCCTGGGTAGCGGTATACTCTGAAAGGTGTGTGTGTGTGTGTGGACTGCGTGTCTGGTCTGGACGTGCGCCCGCGAGGGGATCGTCTATGATTTGTATGTCCCTATGCGTCCCAGAGGTGGGAAAGGCGAGCAGTATATGATCATTGCGTTGATCCTCGTGATGCTGTTCTTTGTGCGCAACCCTCTTTTCACGATTGTCGTGGTGATCCTCATCAACGCCAACTTCAGCATCACCGACAAGACGGTCAATTCCTTCAGCATCAGCATTTTCTTCGCGTCGATCTCCGCTATTATCTTCACATACTTTGCCCACGTGATCGCGTGCTCGTGCGACGTGATCTGCTACTCCTTCGCCATCGAGGCCGAAAAGGGGGAGCAACAGGAGCGCATGACTGAGCTCTACGACCTCTTTCGTCGCCAGGCCTTTCAGGCGGACGCCTCGCAGGCTATGCGCTACCCCGCCGAGGTGGAAGCGCCTGCCCATCATTCGGCCCGAGTCATTGCTTACCGCGCGCAGCCCTGAGCTGCAGCCGTGGCAGCGCCTCATCGCAGCACTGCCAGCGATGTGAGGGGGGTGGCCGTGGCCATAGCAGCGTTCGTGGTAGAGCCAGGGTGCAGAGTAGAGGCGGGCCCATTTGCGGTTCAGGATTCTCGTGGTTCTGGAGGAGGAGGCGTAGGCGGGCTGGCTACATCAATCTTGGTTCCTCAGCGGGGCCCTTCTCACCCCTAGCCCTCCACCCCTTCCTTCATCGTACTTCCTCTCTCCTCTCCTCCCTCATTCGTTCTCCCTACTTCCCCTCCTCCTGGAGTCCAAAACCCAGATAGCGGAGCACCAGAATGCCTTCCAAAGACCTCTCGAGGGAGCTCTGGAAGCTCCTGGAATGAGCCTCCGAAGGAGCTTCTGGAGAGCTTCCGGGCAGACGTATTGGGAAGCGCTCAGAAGAGGCCTGCCGGGACCCGCTGCTGGCTCAGGCAAGGCGCGCCGAGGTGTTTTCACGGAAGCCGGAACGAGCTCTGGGGCCACCCTGCGGTGCCGGCTTCTAGTGCAGCTCTCCAAGGAGCTATCCGGGAAACAGTGCCCGAAGCTCACAGGTTGACCTTTTGGAAGTTCTCGGGCGAGTCGCCGAGTGGCGATTTCCGAGCCTCGGCGTGCGACGGCCGTCGTTTCTAAGGCAGCTCGTCCTTCAACCCAGGTGACAATGTGCTAGCAGGAAGCTGGGCACACGCGACGCGGCCGGGCTCGGCGGGGCGGGGTGGAGCCAGGACGCCGGAGCCGGGCACGTGGCCGCACGTCTTTCCAGCGCTCGGCCCTCGGAGGGCCAGGCGCGGCGATCCTCCATGTGTGTATCTGGTGAGTGCCCTCTGCATGCTCCACATGTGCATCCAGCCGCGCGTGTGTGTGTGTGTGTGTGTGCGTGTGTGTGTGTGTGTGTGTGTGTGTGTGTGTTAGTGTGTGTGTGTGCGTGTGTGTGTGTGTGTGTGTGTGTGTGTGTGTGTGTGTGCGTGCGTGCGTGCGTGTGTGTGTGTGTGTGTGTGTGTGTGTGTGTGTGTGCGTGCGTGCGTGTGTGTGTGTGTGTGTGTGTGTGTGTTAGTGTGTGCGTGTGTGTATGTCTGTGTGTGTGAGCGGGCCCGGATTCCTCCCTCCCGCCGTCGCCAGGCGTTCCTCCTCTTTCCCTCGCGCGCTGCGGCTTCATTCGCATTTGTTCGTGCAACCTTTGCTCTTCCGCCAGCGCAGTCACTCTGCCTAGCCGCCGACGCAACACACGTGTGTGTTTGCTAGTGTGTGCGTGTGTGTGTGTGTGTGTGTGTGTGTGTGTGTGTGTGTTAGTAGTGTGTGTGTGTGTGGGTGTTAGTGTGTGTGTGTGTGTGTGTGGTGTGTGTGTGAGTGTGTGTGTGTGGGTGTGTGTGTGTGTGCGTGCGTTGTGTGTGTGTGTGTGTGTGTGTGTGTGTGTGTGTGTGTGTGTGTGCGTGTGTGCGTGTGTGTGTGTGCGTGTGTATGTGTGTGTGCGTGTGTTAGTGAGTGAGTGTGTGTGTGTGTGTGTGTGTGTGTGTGTGTGTGTGTTAGTGTGTTAGTGTCTTACTGTGTGTGTGTGTGTGCGTGTGTGTGTGTATGTGTGTTAGTGTGTGTGTGTGTTAGTGTGTGTGTGTGCGTGGGTGGGTGCGTGCGTGCGTGCATGCGTGCGTGCGTGCGTGTGTGTGTGTGTGTGTGTGTGTGTGTTTGTGTATCTGTTTGTGTGTATTCCAGCGTCCTGGTAGCATCGGCAGCGGCGCGATCCGATGAACCCGTAGCGCTCAAGGGAGCGCTTCGCGGCGGCTTCTCAGCAGCGCCAGGGCGTGGTTTCATTGGTTGCAGCACAGGGCAACGCGGCGCTGTCGGGAATAAACCTGTCGTATAAGCAGAAGGAGAAGATTTGGGGGGGAGGGGAGAGGAGAGGTGGAGTAGGGGAGTGGAGGAGGACGAGAGGGGGTGGTGATGGTGGTGTCTGGGAAGCGGGCATGGAGAGGACGATAAGGGGGAAGAGCAGGAGGAGAACACAATCATGCAACGGAGGATGAGGAGCACGAGGAGGCTGTGTGGGTGCACAAGGGGGGCGAGAAGGAGGAGGACGAGCAGGAGCAGGAGCAGGAGCAGGAGCAGGAGGAGGAGGACCTCCTCCTCGGAGGCAAGCGTGTGGCACTTGGACGGTCAGGGTGGCCATCCTCGGAACCGTCAGGGAGAGGGCAGGACCGCCCCCCGACGGGCACGGCCTCCGCCTCCGCCTCCGCGCGCCGGCACGGAGAGGACGCGCACTGCTGGCCGCGCAGCCTGCGCAGAGCGGTCCGGCTCGTACCCCGGCAGGCTTTCAGGGCGCCGTGCCGTTAGAGAGGCACGGGATCCTCGCTTCTCCCTCGCTTCTCCCTCGCCTCCCCCTCGCTCCTCCTCGCTCCTCCCTCGGGTGTCGCCGAGCCCCGTGGCCAGAGCGTGACGTCATGGCGCCGCGCCCTGCAGTGTGCCGTGCCGCGTCGTGGTGTCGTGGCGCGCCGGGCCGTGCGGGAGCCCGGGGCCGCGCCCCGGTGGTGTGCTTCCGTGCCGTGCCGTGCCTCGCCGTGCCGCGCCGTGCTCTCGGGAGCCTGGCGGCCCAGACCTCCGAGGGGGCCGGCTTTTCCCACCCCAGCGTTTCTCCTGAGCTTCGGCCTCTCGGGGCCGCGCTCGGGGCCCAGGGCAATCAGAGACGGCTGCCGGGATGCCGGGGGGAGGAGAGGCTGCCCGTGGGGAAGCGGTCCCGAGCTCTGGGGCCGCGGGTGGAAGAGAAAATGCATCGTCGGAGATTGGTCAGGAGAGGAAAAACACACACAGGCACAATTCATCCTCGATTCCCCAGAAGATGTGGGGAAATATGGGAAGTGGGGGGGAAGACAGAAACCCAGAAGCTATGGGAAAATATGGGGAATATGTTTTTATTTGTGTGTATTTATTTGTGTGTCCTTGGGCCCCGTCAGTGAGTGGGCTGTCCTAGCCGTGGTTCTGTGCGCGCCGTGCGGTGCTGCGTGTTCGCTCCGCGGCGCCACGGGTGGTGTGGTGGGGGCCAGAGCTCGGCTTGGTCGTGCGGTGCTGTGCTGAGCGGTGCCGGGATCCTGGACCAACCAGATGGTGTCGTTAGGTGTTCGCTTATGGACCCCTTGTTGAACGCAGCCGTCCAGCTTTTCGCGCCGAAAGCCGCTGGAAACCGCCAAAGACCGCCGGAAGCCGCCGAAGACCATGAGAAGACCACCGAAGACCGCCGAAGGCCACCCGAAGACCGCCGAAGACAGCCCAGGAGCATGGGCAACAAGGGATCCATGGTCGAACACGAAGGGGTCGGTGGGTTTGCGGGCGGGGGCCCCGCCTCGCCGCGCCGCCGCAGCTCTTGGCGGACGTCCCAGAGTGGCGCGGCGGAGGCGCGGACGACCTGGCCTCAGCGGCTCCGGTCGGCTCGTTCGAGGCTGGATCGGCGGCGAGCGAGGAAGTCGGCGGCTAGCGACCCGGACCTCGCGCTGTGACAAGAATCACGACGGGGGGGTTTTCGCTGTTCTCGGCCTCTGGAGGCCCTTACCAGGCCGCGGGACCGGTCCTGGGGAAGGGGCTGAGGTCTCTGGGGGTCGACGCTGTGAGCCAAAAACGCGACGTCGGGGGTCCGGGGAGGGGGGAAGTAGGAAGGAGAAGGCTTTCTCAGAAGGCGGCGGGGTTTCTCCGAAGCCCTCGCGCCCTCATTCGGGGAAGGGTCGGCCTTAGTGGGCCCCGGAAACGGCAGGGCCATTTTTTCACCGTCTCCGAAAAGTGTCCCTTGAAAATGGGAGCGGCAAAAAAACGGCGACCGGAAACGGCAACAAAAACGGCTCCAGGATTGGAGCCGGAGCGGGAACCCGTAAAAGAACGGCGACGGAACAGGTAAAAAACGGCGTCGGAACCGGCAACAAAAACGTCGAAACGGAACCGGTGAAAAACGGCCATGTCGTTCCCAGGGCCCACTGAGGGCTCGGCAATTTTCTCGGGGGGCCGGGGGACTTCCGAGCCTGCTGAAGAAGCCCGCCCCTCCTCACTTCCCCCCCCTCGCTCGCCGCCGAGGAGCGTCGGGTGCAGTGGCCGGGACGGGCAGCACATGGCGTTCATGTTGGAATCTGAGCGGCCCTGACACGCATGCGTTGAAACGCAACACGTACCGTGTTCAACAGAAATCTCATGGCGCCAACATCGCAGAGCGGATTTCGTGAGGAAAAATTGGGATGGGCCCGTATGTTCCTGGAGAGCTTCTTTCCGGATTTCGAAGTCATTTAGTGAGAATTCTTGTGGCCGGGAATGAAGATTACAACATATTCACGTGATTATCACTTCGTTTTTCGCTCGCCGCTTCGGGGTTTGGCATTGACAGGGATCCGCGCAAAAATTCGCTGCAGCTCGTCTGCAATTTGCAGCGACAACTCTCTTATGCACGTGTTGGCCCACGCCACGTTTTGGCAGACGTTTCGCGCCAGACATATACGTTCTCAGTCTGCGTGCGGAGCTCCGTGTCGACACGCTACGGGTTGCGTTTTCCGTATCGTGGCAGCTTAGACTGGACAGGTTTCGCTGTGGCTTGGCATCGCTCGGACATGTGCATTTGTTTCGGCGGGGACCATCGAGGAGCATCTTTGAGAATTTGGCAAAACAGCGTACGAAACCGATACATGCACCGGGAATGGACGTCCGAGCGATGGCAGGGTGTCGGTGTCACAACACATGTTGTCCGCCCAACGGCGAACGTGTTCTGCCCAACTGTTGCCGTCAACCCCTATCGACTCTAGCCCCGATTCTTGACGCTTCGCGTATCCCCACCAGCCGTTGCAGCCCCGGCCAGCCACTGGTTTCGGATACGATGAACGACACACCGGCCCCCCCCCTGGCAGCGGTGCGGTCCGTGGAATGAGTGCTCTGTAGGTACTTGCCGTTCCCCTGCTCTCTCTGTGGTCATATTCAGCCCTGACTGCGCTCCAGCGCCTATGAGCTGGCCGCGGCTGCAGCGTACC